AGGGAGGGAGAGAGATAAGTTGAGAGATATATGCAGAGACCTAGATCTAGCAATGTCAATCTAGATCTAGGTCTCTGACTGATATGGGAAGTGAAAAATTGACAAGAAAGGAGAGAGACACTAAAGCAAGCAAGCAAGCACTTACTCACGCACGCACGCGCGCGCGCGCACACACACACACACACACACACACACACACACACACACACACACATGGAGAGAGAGAGAGAGAGAGAGAGAGAGAGAGAGAGAGAGAGAGAGAGAGAGAGAGAGAGAGAGAAAGAGAGATTGAGAGAGAGACAGAGACAGAGACAGAGACAGAGACAGAGACAGAGACAGAGACAGAGACAGAGACAGAGAGATGGAGGGCAGGAAGTCCAAGAGTATCGTTGGCTTATTTTATGTATTCATGGGTCAAAGGTTCAGCCAATTGTAGCCCTCGGTGTAGTCGCATGTAGGTTAAAGGTTTCTCTACTTTAACTTCCAGGTCGTCGAGTACAATCGCGACGGGGTTGTAGTGTGCACTGAAACCACAAGAAAGCGACCCAACCCGATAGGCTCGACCCGACCCGATCGCGTATGTGGGCACCCCCTATAATACGGGGTACCCACTATAGCTGAATCGGGCCGATCGCCCGACTCGATCGCCTGAAACTGAAAACAAACACGCGAGTCGGGCGATGGGCCTGATCCAACTGTAGTGGGCACCCCGTAGGCGACCGAGTCGGGCGATCGGCCCGATCAGCCGATCCCACCCGTACTGGATCAATGACAAGATATAGCTGAGGGGGATAAGGATGACAATGAAGAGACGATAGTTGAGATGGCGACAAGTCACCTGCATGATCACGGCGATATTACGTTGACGACGATAACAGCGAGGAATCTTGAGCGAAGCCGAAGGCGAATACGTCATGTCTACTCGGATCGGAGCTTGAAATCATGTCGTGAAGGCTGCCTTGACTGTATCACTGTATCAGTAGATACCCTCAGCGAAACGTTATCCACCCCACCCCTTTCCTTACGTTAAAGGTTTATTTGTTTGGTCGTTTGTTTTTAAGTTTGTTTTTATTGGGGGGCGGGGAAGGGACGAAAACATGCAGTTAATAGGGCACGTCTCTGCCTGAATACGAGAAAGGAACATTCAGATTGGTGGTCTGGATTCAATGGAACTGGGAGGGGGAAGGGGGGAGAGAGGGGAGGATGGGTGGGGGGGGGGGAGTTGAAGGTTGTTTTCTATATTCATGGACCTTTTCTGCTCCTCATTTAACAGGACCTGGAAAAGAGAGATGAATCACATTTTCGATTCTGTTTTGAAAATTCCACATTGTCAGGAACGAACTCATTGGCAATTCAAATGTAACCACCAATCCGTTCAAGGTTGCTTTAAGTTTAGGACAATATCTAAAAACTTAAAGGGGGCTGTCTTCCATATTGTGAATAGCTATTTGTGTATTGCTTGTTTGCTTTTTTTAAGGAGGGAGGGAGGGGGTTGTATGTCACAGTAACATGATAATTTCCAATAAAAGTACATTCAGTTTCTTAGCTGTACTTAGGAAATACAAAGCAAGCTTGTGATGGAAGACAAAGCAATACATTGCATTGTAGACCATCCTAATCACGGACTTAATTTTTTTTAAAGAAGAAAAACGAGGGAAAAGGTTGAAGGAAATAAAGAATAACAAACTCTGGACTCTCCAACGTTTCGTATAGCAAACTAACTGAGAAAGATGACCATGGACATGCTCTACTGAAGTCCGAGCCAGACAGATTGCATTGTTTATAAATACAAGAACGTCATTCAATACAAGCTGCACTCCTTAACCCTCTCAAACTTAGATTAACAGCCAACCCCCCCCCCCACCGCCCACCGCCC